CACTTGCCTGACATGGCAAAAAGTAGGCTCAGGCATTCGAGTTCGTCAAGAGTCCTTTTAGCCTTTTAGGGTTGTGGAAAACGAATTCCAGTGTGAATGACTCGAGAACATTCCCGTCATTTCTTTGTGTTGACGATCAAAAGTTGATGGATCTGAAGAAGGAATTTATCACTGCCTGAGTTCAGTCAAAAGCGGGTTCCAAGAAACTGTTCCACCGTTATAACGTCGCATAAACTTCCTTTCCTACTGATAACAAAGAGCTTGATAAGGCCTCTCACTTGATGGTTGATTCAAAATGGCGTATTCATTCGATTATAGGCCGCACGTCATCCCTGAAAATATCGGATGTGGCCTATGATCATAATTTTGTTTTTTGGGATTGGACGAAAGTTGCGATATTTACTCTCCGATGAAGTGAAGTGAAAAACAAGGCAAAGGAAAATTATGTAGATTTTGTAGAATGAACGCCTATCAGAGAAAAACCCCCGCGAGATTTCCCTGATGGATCGCTAAGTTTGATTTAGGCATTCCCTGCGACGATTTTCTCTTTATAATTTTTGTTGTTGTCCCGTGAGGGTCTCTAACCATCCTAAAGAATTACAGATTGATGGGGCTGTCTACTGTAATTTTTTCCGGTCCCCTGAATTTTGTTTTAGAAAAAGATAGAGTACACACTTGTATCATCATTGCCTGGATTTTTGACAAAGCCTTTTTTTTTAAAGGCGTATCGATTTAAATTCGTCTGTGATCTGATTTCACAGACCGAATATAATTGCCTTTTACCCTCCAAAGTCTGCCCGTGCTCGAGTGCGGCCTGTAATAATCTCCTGAATACGATATGTCTCGTATTCAGTGGGCATTTGTGGTGTAAGAGGCAGGATTTTTATAGTATAGTACAGTATTAGGTTTTTTTTTTTTTAGTATTGCAGGTTGACTTGGTGAAGCGGGCAGGCTAGACAAGTTCGGGAAGAAAATGAGCTCCCCGAAAGAGAGTCGAGAGCACGGTTTTAGATTCGGTTATTACCAATGGCCCGGGGTGTGCGTCACAGCGCACTGGTCCGCTGCATGCTTTGAACTCTCGGGCTGGGCTTATCTCGTCCAGACTCGGTCCTTTTTCTCTTTCTTTCTCTCTTTTCTTTCTCCATCACTTGCCTTTTTTTATCTTTTTCCTCTTCCTTCTTCGTCGTCTCGGTTTCTCCTTCACCGATCAGCGAGTTCAACGCCACACACACCCGATAGAACTGATGCTCAGAATTGTGTATTTTTTATTTTTTATTTTCTGATTGTTCTTGTTTTCCAGGCTGCGACGAGGTGTTCGAGCAGAGGTTCAGCTTCAAGCCGGAGACTACTTTCCCGTCGCCGCCGGCGTTTAGCAATTGTCAGAAGAGTTACCTGTCACGGGCGACGCGGAATTCCATGTCGTCCAATTCCAATTTAGGTGAGGTGTTGATGAGGGAGGATGAGTGTGTCTTCATTTATTTTCTTGGTGTTTT